AAAACACACTTTCTGTATTTTTCACCTTCAAATTGTGAAACTTTCTCGAAAGCTGTGTTCCTGGCAAGCAAACATACCAATCCACATGATGCCATCTGACATCAGACAGAACACCTGTCATTGAAATTGAGGTAATACTGTTTACATTCTCCTCAGTTGTTGCATATCTAAATGTCTGTTAGCTCAATGCAGCAGCCAGAGCATGGGTTATATTACCCTTTCTTATTGCCATATGGTTTGAATGTTTTGCACACATGCTTTGTTCCCCCAACAAGCTTCTCAAACAATAGTTATATTCCTGTATCTCATGTTGCTCAGTTTGCTAGTGAAAACAAAATAAGTGGATATTGCAGACGACTGAGAACAAGAGATTCTAAAAACCTCATTCACTTTGCAGCGGTGGTGAGCTCATATCCATTTATCCAGGTCTAATACAAAAGAAGAACCACTAAATTCAGCCTGCCAATGTTTGGAAAGCCAAAGTCATTCACTGAAATTGAACTTGATAGATATACTATTGTAAAAGCTCTCATGGAATTGAAGGGTTGATGAGTTTCTGGCAAAATTTAGACGATTAGACTTTTGTGAGCAGACTAGATACATTATGTTTTATTAATATTAGCATATTTTGATTTAGTATATTTTGATTTGCAGGTCAAGGTAGTACGTTTTGATTGGTCACCCTTTTTCAGCTGCACTGGTTCCAGAAGTATTAATTTCATTCATTTTTCCCATAGGAATTATAATAAAGTCTCCTTTAACGAGTTAAAAGTCATAAACCAAGCCAATCAGAGGTGAATTACAACACTAAACATTTTTATTTAAAGAGTTTTATTTTAAATAAACAAAAAGACAGGGGTAGGTATAGAGATAGTTGAAAAATGAAAATTCTGTCAATATTTACTCACCCTCAAGTTGTTTCAAACCTGTATGAATTGAATTACTCTGCTGTACTCAAAAGATGATATTCTGAATAATGTTGGTAACCAATCAGTTGATGGGCCACACACTGACTCACTCAAGGGCCCATTAAATGTTTGGTTACCCATTCTTCAAAATATCTTTGTTTGTGTTCAGCAGAAGATAGAAATTCATTCAGGTTTGGAAAAACTTGAATAAATTTTGGGTGAGCTGTTTTTTTAAACAGCTGTAGTGAGGGAAACAACTTTACATAGTTCTGTGTTTGTATATATGCATATTTTGGAATAGACACACATTATTCATATTTATACAAACATTTCAGTATTATGAGCGTGTGGAGATCAACTCTACATCATTCCCACTTTTTTTGACTCTCTGAATGGAGTAATTTTACAGCATCATGGGTAGTGTAGTTTTTCACTAGGAATTCCACTGTTAAACATGATTATTAAAAACAATATATTCTGAAATAATGCGGGCTGACGGCTTCCTCAGAAGCAAATGCCATGGATTAACAACCTTTAAAGTTTTATAAGTTATCTTTGAAAATCAGTTTCCCAATATGAATAGAGTTTTCCTTACCAGAACTTGACTGTTGCTCTCTATTAAACTTAGTTTTTTGTTAGGAATTTGCGTTTGCGACATTCTGGGAAGTAAATATAAGTCGGTATCCTACAATAAATGGGCCACTTTAAAAATCTGATTTAATAAAATTAAAAAGGTTGTAGCTTATTCAAGGAATCACTAAGTTCATGCTGTTTAAACCATTCGTTTTGCCTGCATATTCTCTGTTCTGTATACTCCTGGCTTTTTATGTCAGGTTTTTGTAGAAAGGACAAATGAGATTGGTAAAACGATTGCAAATGAGTCCCAGAGACTATAATGAAAGCAGGGTATTAGATTCGGTATCTCACAGTATCTCACGGCTAATGGAAGTCGCCTGGTGCCTATCAGTCTCCTTGAGACTAGACAATACAGTCTGTACTGCACTTATAGAGAGAGCGGAAGTGCATATCAGTGCTGAGCGTGCATTTTAAAGGATCCTGAGAGAAATGTACCTTTTTAGATGTTATTTCTCAAGAGTAAATTGAGAGAATATTTTTTTTTTTTAAGAACTCATGCCCGTGTGGCTATTTAGACTAGTGGCTGTTGAACATGAGCATAAGTCTTGTGATAGTAGGCCTACGGCTGATTATTCACTATTTTTAGCCCCTTTAGTTTTTCATTATTATTAGATAAGCAAGTTTCATTCCTGTATCTCAACTGGTAGTCTACAGCATTAATGCCAAGTCCACATGGCTTGACCTCTGCAAAAGTTTACCTTTGATGCACTATGATTTGCAGTTTGGATTTACAGTAAGTGTGCCAAATGCATAAATGAGAATCTTGAGTTTACAATAAACATTCAGTGTTGCGTGTCATTTCCTTGCAGCACAGTTTGCACGAGGACCCCGGTCTCATGGTCAGTATCATATATCGGTGATTATCCTGTGGCCACTTGCTCTCTTGCATGATCACTTTGCACTGCTCTTTAATCACTATAGCAACTGTTTGAATGTGCCAAAGTGTGTAAAGTGATACCATGTTTATATAAAAACCAGACACCTGAGCGGCAAAAACAACATTCACCCTCCGTTCATCTTTGGAACACAGTTTAAGATATTTTAGATTTAGTCTGAGAGTTTTCTGTCCCTCCATTAGAAATGTATGTACGGTATACTGTCCTTGTCCAGAAAGGTAATAAAGACATCATCAAAGTAGTCCATGTGACATCAGTGGGTTAGTTAGAATGTTTTGAAGCATCGAAAATACATCTTGGTCCAAAAATAACAAAGACTACGACTTTATTCAGCATTGTATTCTCTTCCGGTTCTGTTGTCAAGCCACGTTCACGAGTCCGCAGTGTGACGTGTTATTTGGTGCGTCCGTGTATTCGGGTCCAAATAAATATGGGTGGGCCAAAAAATGCAAGTCTTCCTCTGTGTGGAAATCCTTAGACATGTTTGCGAAGATTGTTTTGTTTATAGCATGCGTCTCCCTCAGACTGTAAAAGCTCTGCGCACCAGACACACGTCAGCAGCGTCTTACGTCATAAGCAGTCACTGAACGCGGCTTGACAACAGAACCGGAAGAGAATACAATGCTGAATAAAGTCGCAGTTTTTGTTATTTTTGGACCAAAATGTATTTTCGATGCTTCAGAACATTCTAACTAACCCACTGATGTCATATGAACTACTTTGATGATGTCTTTATTTATTTATTCTCCTGTTAATTTCAGTAAAATACCTTTTGCTTTAAGGTCCTGTCAGCCTTTTGTGGACACCAGCTTCTGGTGTGGATTATCACTGAGAAGGTTATTCATTTACACCTTTTACACTGGTAATTATCCCCATTAAATCGAACTGGATTTGTTCTCTTGATGTACTGCCAAATTTGAGGAGATAAAAAATTAATTAGAAACAGCGACAGAAAGCAGATTATGTTTGATGAATCTCAATGAAAAGAAGCTGAGCTAGACATTTTCTGATTCCACAGCCAAAAGGAAAATCTTAGATTGCTTGTTATGAGCTTATCATTTGGTGTTAGAATGAATAGTGTGTGTGTGTGTGTGTGTGTGTGTGTGTAATGGGTCTGTGCTCTGTTTAGTATAAACTCTCACATGATTTATCGTTCTGGATTTAATCTATAGTAAAGTCACATTCATTTTTTCACAGAACGTGAAGTGGTTTTGTCTTTAAACTGATTATAGGAAAAACGTGCTATCATAGATCACCGTGTGGATGTTTAGACATAAATTGTTTGGTGTGGTGTGTTTAAAATCCAGATGTATGACAATGATTATGTATTTCTTGACTTTAAAAACTTACAGAAGTCAAAATGGAGTCCTGCTTCAAATCACTGTTGACCATGGATGACCTTTACACTAAGTTCTCCATCTCTGGAACAGCACTGACTCTGTGCCAATCATCTGCTAATTGAACTCAGAGGTGCAAAAAGCTGCATTAAGGACATGTATTAGGTAATTGATTCTGAGGTAAGAGACGGAAATAGTCGTGATTACATTAAGGGCTTAATGGCTCCCAATGTGTCACTCGGTCAAAAGTTGGCAAGCAAGCATGCACTTGAAAAAGATTGAACCTTTATGGTTTAGTTTGCTGGTTATCACCAAGGGCAACTAAATTATGAATTCATACATTGTGGGTCTCAAATTCAGAAAGGGGAAATGAAAATTTAGCATGTATCATGAATTATTTCCAAGGCACTTGGGCTAGATTAAATATAAGAAGACTTTGGATGAATAGTTACAGTTAAAACATTCACACACTGTCCCAGCAGAAGGGCTACGGGATTTAAAGAAATTAAACTTTAAAGCTATTTCTCTCTCATGGGGCAAGATTCAAGACAGGTACTTTTTTATGTATTTATTTATTTATTTTTATTTCACATTCTCTTTTGTTCTTGCAAATTCTTTGAGAATTCCGTCAGCTCAGTTGGACATCTATTAAAATGAAATAATTCTACACATCAACATCAGAGTTGGCTGTAGATGTATATATGAATAAACACATTAAACCTGCGGTTTAAGGCAATATTGCCTTTACTTGAGAGGTAACAACATTTAAGCTATCTTTTAATGAATAGATCATACAATAGGCCTAATGTATTTTAGTGTAAGAATATAATTATCATCCAAGTTTTGGATCAAAAAATATTTAGGCTAGTTAATATTCAATATATTTAACAAATGTTCACATGTGAATGAAAGTTAAAATATCACATAAAAAAAATAACTGAACATTTTTTAATAAAAAAAGAAAGACGACAATACACCCCTCCCCCACACATAAATAATCAGTTTGGCTCATGAACTGATTATTTATTTAAAAACACATTTATCTACATTGACATTGACATATTTACAAAGTGTTCTAACGTGTTCAGTAGCTAATGTGAAGTCATAAAATCTAAGTCTCATTTAGGTAGGCTATGTATGTAAAATATCAATGTCAAAATCTTCCGTTTGTTTTGTACTTGACCCAGTCCTCCGCAGTGTGCTGTGTGACGTCACGCGTCACATGGTACGCGTCAGCTGTGTTGCAGGAAGTGAAGCAGTCATGGCGACTCCTGTAGCTTTACTCTCTGAATCTGTGCTCGGATGGTCTATTTTCACTATCGTTTTACTGGTGAGATACATAAATTATACGCTATAACTTGTATTTACTTGTACTGTTAAACGCGGTATTTCCACGTTTCCATCACGTCCTATACTGGTTTGTAAGCTTGATGTGTATCATTCTGTCACGCCGCACTACCTTAGTTATACGTCATTTCATAATCCTGTTAATCAGTTAGAGGCTTTTTTTGCAGTTTTTACAAAAATATTACACTATACAGTTTTACTAGAGGTAACTTAACACTTAATTTTCCAAGTACAAGTACATGTGTTGTTGCTATAAATCATGTTTACTTCTAACTTTTCACGTTAATCGTATAATCCTATTGTATGTCCATTTACACGTGTAACTAATTTCTAAACCGTCCTTAATTGATTGATTTTACAGTTCTTAGTATTTCAAATGGGAATATGTTACATCTCAGTGTCAGAGTCAACTATACATATTTGTTCCCCCCTAAAATCATAAACACTGTCAGTGATTTTTGCTGTTGTGTTTGTTTGAGCAGGACTTTCTGTTTGGTGACCAATGGCTGAAAGGGGGAGTGTTCAGGAAACTTTACAAATAGTCATTATCTTTTGCAATTTCATTTACTGGCAGAGAAATAACGCAGCACAACTTTAAACAATTCGTTTTTATCCTGTCTGGTCGAGGTGTTTAATTAAAGTGGCTTCTATGCCTTAATTTTCTAATTAAAATGCAGCCTACTCAAGTTTAACACGTGTAAAGAGAGCAGTATTTCCCATTAGTTTGGAACATCCTGATTTAAATGCAAAGCGTTGGGTCATTATCTGACCAACAATTCAGGCAGAATCTAATACGCACGCTTAATTGATCCTGTTTGAAAATAGCATCCCGTAATCACAAGCTTTTTTTAGTGGTGTTTTGAGAGCTTATAGAGGATGTGTTTGGAATACAACCTTTCACTCTCATGCAAGTTCCTCCTAAAATTTGGACTCTATTTATGGTTTTATTTTAAGTTTTATGAGATACTATATGCTTTTCATAGACAACTGTCTCAGAGACTTCTAAAGCTGTAGGCAGGATTTTTTTTTTATCTTTCTTGGTGAGGAGCTATCGTTTACTAGATCAGAAATGCAGTACAGAAGCACACAAGTTATCAGCTTGAAACAGAAGTTGGGATCGACTTTCTTATTCCCTATTATTATGTATATCCGAGTGAAACGTCTTCTCAAACAAGAAAAGATGTAGGGTGTGACTTGATTTTGTCAACCGGGAATTGATGGTTTGTCATTGCTGTGATCTCATATGAGTGTAAGGCTGTCCTGTCCTCGCGTCAGTAACCGGGTTATCAGAGAAGAGATGTCACTGCAAAAGGGAGGGGAAGTTATTTTAATTTAAGATTATGAAGGCACATGGAAAAAGACCCATATTTAAAAACAAAACAAAAACAATGACGAGCATGGATGAATCATTTATAATAAGTTGCAATTGCAATATTCCATAAACAAATAAGAATTGTCAGTTTTTTTAATTTAATGGTGAGTTTAAGGTGGGTTTGTGTTATGTGAAAGCCAACTGTGCTATACAACACACAACGATTTGACACCATAGATATTTACGCCTTTTAAAAGAGTGACATACCAGACAAATTTTGACACACAGTTATAATAAATTGTCACAAATATCAGGCTTTAGGCTAAATAAACAAGATTTCTTTTTTCATGAGCATGGCTTGAGTACAGATTGACATATAAGTAAGTTAGCAGTTCTTACATTTTTATTTGATTTCATGTACTTTTATTTTCAATATTTTTTTGTGGAAGTTTTTATGATTTTAATGAAGTCGATATCATACATTAACTCATACATCAAAAAAAGAAAGTCTTGTGAAGACTTTTTTATATTTAAGTAATATTTGTCCAAATATCTAATTTCAAACTTTTAATCATAAGTAATCATGAAACTGGCGGTACTGTGTTTAACATTATTTTAGCTGCATTTTACAAATTATTATTTGTCCCCTTGTATCTTCAGGTCATCGTGGCCTTCTGCTGGGTTTATATTCGGAAGTATCAGAGCCGGCAGGAGAGCGAGGTTATCTCCACCATCACGGCGATATGTGCTCTGGCCATTGCCCTCATCACATCAGCTCTTCTTCCTGTGGATATCTTTCTAGTGTCCTTTATGAAGTATCCCAATGGCACTTACAAGGTAACCCTATTCCCGTACATGTCTGTGCTTGATTCAATCCTGCATTATTCCAGGTTCCCATTATTCCACTTGCATTGTTTAAATGCAACATGAAATCCAATTTACTTTCTTATTAAAGTCACGGTGCACTATATTATTAGTCACTGTGTTATTATAAAGATAGAAATCGTTTTTTTTTTGCTTCTTAAATTACTTAATGGATAATAAAGGGGTCATATGATGCTATTTTAAAAGCTCATTGGGTACTTTCCTGTTATCCGGACCCCACGATGGCCTACCCCTAACCCCGCCCCTAAACCTACCCGTCACTGGGGTTAAGACCAATCAGGGACGATGGCCTACCCCTAACCCCGCCCCTAAACCTACCCGTCACTGGGGTTAAGACCAATCAGGGACGATTGCCTACCCCTAACCCTGCCCCTAAACCTACCCGTCACTGGGGTTAAGACCAATCAGGGATGACTATAGTTCTGAAATGGTATATGGTGGGGTCCGGATAACAGGAAAGTACCGCTCATTGTTTTGTTAATTGGGTGTGATGAAATCGATCAAATTGTTTGTTTATTTACATACTGTACATTATTGCAGCTCCTCAATTCCCTACAAAATCCCTCCTTCTGAGTGCTCTGATTGGCCAGTAGACCCAGTGCATTGTGATTGGCCAAACACCTCATGCATGTGCCAGAAATATAACAGCCCTTACCATAATGACTATCTTCAGCTTTAAAGGGTTAGTTAGTTCACCAAGAAATGAAAATGCTGTCATTATTTACTCGCCCTCATGTCGTTCCAAACTTGTAAGACTTTCGATGTTTGGGACACAAATCTTTTTAATAAAATCTACGGAACTACCACTTTGATGCTTCAAAAAATATGTGGTTTAGTCCAAATTTTCTGAAGAGACATGATCACTTATACACTGAGCAGATTCAATTTTGGCGTTGACCTTGATGTTTTATATTTATATAGCGCTTTCACAGACCCAATGGCCACCAAAGTGCTTTACATATTGCCTCACATTCACTTTCTCATTCATAGACCGTCGGTGTAAAATGAGACAGTGAGCATTTCATGTTCTCGTTCATGGTTAATTTTTCCATTATTCAAAACCAAAGAAACTGAGAGCTCTGCACAATAAGTGTTTTGGATGAATTGGATGAATGGTAGTTTACTTTCACCACTTGTGAATACAATGGCATTTCTTGTTGCACTTTATTCTAAAACATTCCATGATGCAGTCAATTGCAATAAGACCCAGAGATCGATTATACTTCAAGTTTGAGTTCATAGACTGAATTGAACACATCTTTTTTTTTTACTTTGAGACTTAAATGGTCTAATGAGACATTGGTTACTATGGCAACTGAATGGCGTAATTAATGTAACCACATGCCCACCATTCTTCCTTCCGCATAATGAATAATTAAGCATAGAATTACCTTCACTGAGATGAGATCTTTAATGAGTGCTTCACTTAGAACTTCCGTGAAACTTTGTTCCCACTTTGCATACTACAGAATGAAAGCATATTATGACCCAAGCCTGTCAAGTTCTAAAATGGAAAAAAGTAGCATAAAAGTAATTTAGACAACTCTTCTGAAGTCATACAACTGAAATTTAAGCTGTTATTCGCTAATAAACTTTTCTGTAGCCTTCAAATTTAATTTGCACTTGTCTTCCACAAATATTCAAACTTGCTGCTTTACAGTTGCTTTTGACATTGGAACCAATGGAAATTTTAAAACTTGGCCAAATATACAATTTTTATAATAAAGAAATATTTTATAATACCTTTTTAAATCTGGATGTTCATTCACTTTATCGTATGGGAAAAGCACCACTGCATAATATCTCCTTTTGTGTTCCACGGAAAAATGAAAGTCATAGAGGTTTAAACCTGAATAATTTTTCATAAATTGGATGGCAAGAGCCTGAGACTTTAAATGCCAGTATTTCTATTTGATTGATTACAACTTATTGATGTCCTTACAAAACACATGAATGTGGAATAGAGCCTGAGCATGAGGCTATTTCCATTGTCCAATAGTCAAACATGTTTTGACTATAAGCAGCGAGCCTGTTGTCCCACAAAACAGTTGATATTTAAATAAACACATTAGAAATATTACAAAACACACCATTAGTATTCTCCCCTGGCTTTGTAAAACACTACAAGTGTGTGTTGGGCAGAATAAATTGAGATCTGCAGACAGCGCTGGCCTGGTTTTCATTTGAGATAATGATCAGCCCTAGGATTGTTAAAAAGGTCTTTTAGAGGTCAAGACAATATTTGACTTTATCAGAGTTACACAAGATTCATTACTGGTTTAATTTCATTAATTGGAAGTTAAGGGTTTTGAAGTGTTCTGAAGAAGACAGACTTGCCCGATCATATCAGAGATCATCTGTCGAGGCGGAGGAGGTTAACCCAGTATCGGGTTAATTAGATCTCTGATGAAGCCACTGATCTTTCTGTACCACACTTCTTTGAAACACTTTAAAATTCATAGATGATCTTGAATTGTAGAGCGCCATAGTATAGTGAATAGATCGGCACTGTACACCAAAGTTATGTAATCGTTATATTGTATTGTATACTGAAATAGCATTTAAAAAAATGTGTAATTATTAGGCCGTGTAATTGTGTAATTATTAAACTTTTAGTGTTTGCTCATATAAAGTTAGAGATTTTAACAAAACTTAGGTCCACTCTCCTGCAGAAAGTTTATTCCTTCGACATTGATCAAACCTGTTTGTAAATTTCATGTAATCCTACTGTCTGAGTAGGTGCTACACTCAAATTTGTATTTACTTTGCTACTTTTTATATTATCAGGGTGTCTAAACTCTGTCCTGGAGAGTCACTGTGCTGCAAAGTTTAGCTCCAACTTGCCTCAACACACCTGCCTGGTAGTTTCTAGTATGGGTGAATTGCGTTTTTGCACCCTTGAAGGGCACGTCATTTGTAGGCGTGTTCCAAATGAAAGTGAACAATGCACTACTTGCACAACTACTTCCGCGTTCTACTTATTACATACCGGGAGTTTCCGGTTAGAGTGTTCATCGCACGTCCATACATGAGAATGCATATTATCACTACGTTTTGTGGATGCCAATTGATTAAAACAATGAATAACGATCTCTGTATTAATTATCTTGAGCCTACTGAAATGTTCTTATAAATATTTTTTCTTTCTAACTGTTCGATTGTGAATAATAAATAGGCTAAATATATTTATCCACTAACTTGCAGTAGTCTTCTGTCTTCTCATTAACAACAGTATTAGCCTACTTATATTCTATACTTGAGTTTACATTTTTGTTTACATGAATTTGACTAATAAAAAGTGTGCATTGGTGCTTTATTCCTGTCTTTTTAAAATAGTTTAATGAATGAATGAATGAATGAATGAATGATCGTGAGGTGCCTACCTACTATCAGAACGCACGCATAGAATGACAGTCAACTTCTCTGAGTATTAATTAAGCATTTTGGGCATGAACATGTAATAGTAAAACGATTGACATTGGAAAAACGACACTGAATGATTATTGATTACAATATTTAATCCAAATAAATAAATGTTCGTGTTTCGTACTGATGTTTCAGCGTCGCGGTCACTAGTGTAGACAAACACTGACACCCTGTGGTGAAATAATGGCGTATTTTTAACAGCCGCAGCTTTCTCGTATTGGCTTGGTTTGGATTTAGGCCGTGTGTCCACCAAAGCGTTTTTAGCCAGCTGAAAACGCTAGACGCTCTGCTGAAGACGCCGTGCTTTGGGCGCTTGAGAGCGTTTTGGCAGCGCAGCGTTTTTTTCCGTTGAGACGTTTCATTGCTATGATACATAATATCCGCGGCAGTTGAATGTTGTGACAGTTGGTCGGTGTGGTATTAGTCCCGCCCCTCCTCCACTGTGATTGGACGGCTGTGTAAAATGTGACATTGATGAGCGCTGCGTTTTATCCAAAGTTGAACATTTTTCAACTCCCAGCGACCAGTAAAAAACGCTGGGCGCTCGGCGCTTCAGCGTGGAAAAAAACACTCAGCGCCTCGGTACGCTCATGGCGTTTAAAAAACGCGGCGCTCCCATTGAAAACAATTGAAAACATACGCCAGGCGCGTGGAAAAACGCTTTGGTGGACACACGCCTTAAACTTAACGTTCGGATGAGTTTTGAAAATTCTAAACATGGTAAACATCAGAATATCCCTTCTTCTGTCAATAAAAATGTCCAAAATATAAAACCTTATTACAGACACTCATTTTAGGTGGTGTTTGTTCAACTCTTTGACCGCAGTACATTGAAAGGAAACGTAACCGGAAATAAGTGATATGTATTGTTTCCAAACGGAAGTTTGTCGCGAAGCTTAGTGCAAGTAGTCCATTGAATCACCTTCCACAATTCTGTTAGTGAAGGGAATATGTAATGGTCTCTTCAAGGAAGTCATTTCTGGTCATGTTCTGCCTTTTGGAATAAGTAGGCCATATGTTCTCTTCCGATTGGAATTTGTCAAGTAAGACCTAGATTTGCTGGTTCAGGTGTGTTTAATTGGGGTTGGAGCTAAACTCTGCTGGACTGTAATAGTAACCCCCTGTTCTATATAGTATGAATATGGGTAGTATGATTAAAATTCAGATGCATTACATCTACCATGTTGTCACTGTCTCGTGACCTACTAGAGTCAGTTGCGGCGCTGAAGTTCTAGTTCATCCAGGTACTTTTCGCTATTGGCTTTCGTACGCAGGTTTTGATTAGCTTGTTCAGTTGTGTTTGATTTGGAACCTCGAGGGTCAGAGTTGAGTACCCCTGCCCTAATCCAAAGTTATGCACAACAAACTTTTGAATTTGGTAAAACAGGTTGCACCTCTACTAGTTCAGGTCTCTCAATTTGGAACTCTCAAAGTGACGGATTGACGGATTTAACTTTAAAATGTACAAATTTCGGAAACACTGTAACTGATGTCCATGGCTTATGCAGATTGATATCTAAAAGTTG